CTCAAAATGCTCGCATGCGCCCGAAAATGAGAAGGAAAAGATCACCTCTGGGGGGTTTGGACCTGACTTGTCGCCTTGCGAACTTTGCGGACTCGTACAAGCTTGTACAAGTTCCCACAAGTTTGACGGGGTTGTACTGATGGAACATGAGCTGGAAGATCCGTTGGCTGAGTGCATCCTGTTAGAAACACCTGAAACTGGTGTAGTTACGCTGGAATCGATGATTCAATCGAAGTTACCGTGGGCGCAAACTCATGTGCTTCAAAAGGTTTGGGTCGTCCTTAAGTGGGTGCCACCGTGATGAACCTGTCAAAGGCCCAGAGTGATCGGCGGAAAGGTGTACATTTTAAAGGCCATAACGCGGAATAACACATCGCATGAAAAGAGCCAATGATCAACCTTCACTGCAGCCTTCACCAAGAGTGATAGCCCGGCCGACCCGAGGATCGGCGCCCAGCAAACACCCCATGCGATCCGTGTCGAGGAACGAAAAGGAAGCTGCGCGGCTTACAACAAATGTAGTCAATGGGAGGGAGGGCAATCAAAGTCAGAACGCGCAGTGTCAGACCCCAGGGTAACTCCTTGTAGTATTCAACGTCGCGATAGGTATAAAAGACTCTGAATTGAATTGAAGTGGTGAAACTCCCAACTCAACTCATGTATCTGTCCTACAAAGACACGATTCTCGCCATCGTCGCAGCAGCACTTGCAAGTCGCAGCCCCTCTCTACAAAGATTGATTGACTAAACAGTTTTTCAGCTCACTCATCTAATCTTCAAGCGATATGAGACTCACCAACCAATCCATCTTGGCGCCATTCTCCTGGGCATTCCCACTTTCCTCACTGTCTTTGTTGCGCGTCACTCTGCCTCTGTCGTGAGCGCGACACTCGTCACATTCCTAACATTCTGGACCACGCTCAGCGCCTCGATCGTCATCTACCGCCTGTTTCCTTGGCACCCGCTCGCAAAGTACCCTGGTCCGCTGATATGCAGGGTCTCAAAGCTATGGCTCGCATTCCTGTCCCTGGGTGGCAAGCAACACACGTACTATTACAAGCTCCATGAAGAGTATGGCGATGTCGTCCGTATCGGTAAGTGTCGTGTTCTCTTTGATGCGTTTTTCGAAGCCCCACGGGAGAGCATTTCGATCCGTCACACTGGACCTAGCCCCAGATAACGTTAACCCCGACACCTTACGCAGGTCCCAACGAACTGTCGATTCGCGATGTCGCTGCTGTAGCACCCATGATGGGACCACAGGGCTTGCCAAAAGGGCCTTGTGAGTCAATGTCTTGCTACCGTCTTGCCCGAGAAATGACCGTTTTCCGCATCTAGTCTGGGACGGTCGCATCCCCGAGGCCGAGACTACGAAACCCATGATCGCATTGCGTGACAAGACTGAGCACACACGACGTAGACGTCCGTGGACGCGTGCGTTCAGCACGGCTGCCTTGAAGGGGTACGAGGAGATAATTACTAGCCGATGCGTGCAGTTGGTAGAGGCAGTGGGTCAGAAGACGGATGCAGTTGATATGGCGCAGTGGATCTCGTTCTTCACGTGAGTCCCCGTAAGATGTGGTCCCAGGTGAGTCGCTGATACCATAATGTTGTAGGTATGATTTCATGAACGACCTGGCGTAAGTGATGTATTGCTGTTCACCTAAGCAGCGGGGCTGAAATTAGCCCAACAGATTTGGAGGAGGCACGGAAATGATGCGTGATGGCGACGTAGATGGGCTATGGCATCTTCTGGAAGCTGGTCAAAAGTGAGAAATATTCATTCGAGACAGACAAAAAAAGGCCTACTGATGTGTGTTATACACAGGAATGCCATTTTTATGAGCCATGTTCCATGGCTCGGCGCACTCTTCCTGCGATTCCCGAACTTGGCGGAAGACCTTAAGGCTTTCAGACAGCATGCGAAAAAATGCGCAATAGCGCGTAAGAAGAACGGATCGCCAAAGAAAGACCTATTCCATCACCTGGTACACGTCCTCCAATGTTTGATATGTGTCAGAAAACTGACAATCCATAGATTGACGAAGACGGAATCTCTACAAATCCACCAACAGTGACGGAAGTTGTCAGTGATGGTGCGTTGCTGGTTTCTGATCTTTCCTTACCTAGTCAGGGTCTGAAATGTCGATTTTGGCTGGCAGGCGCTTTGGCCATCATCGCAGGAGCAGACACAACGTCAAGTGCCATCACGAATCTTATTTACTTCCTGCTGAGCAACCCGACCACATACAAGCGCCTGCAAGCCGAGATTGACACACATGGGGACGATGTGATGGACTATGCCAAGCAAGCGCACATGCCCTACCTCAATGCTGCACTGTATGTCTTGAGATCAGGTCTTTCGGTGTTTCTGAACTGAACCTATTTGCAGGAATGAGAGCATGCGCCTATTCCCGCCGGTTCTAAGTGGCAGCCAGCGCTACGCTGAAACCGGGGCCGTCATCGGAACCCAGTAAGTTTCTGCCATCCATATTGACAAATTCCAGCTAAGCACCAAACCCCAGCTACGTGCCCGGAGGTACAAGCACATTTGTCCCCTTCTATTGCTTGCACCGCGACGCACGATACTTCTCCCCTTCGCCAAATGCATTCATCCCAGAGCGCTGGCTTTCTCCCGAACAGCAGACCCTGCTCGAGCCAGGCATCTTCAAGGATCCATCTGCGAACACGCTCAACCCAGCAGCGTTCATCCCGTTCTCCTTCGGCCCTTCAAATTGTGTCGGGAAGAACCTCGCGTGGATGGAGATGCGGATGCTCGTGTGTCTCCTGGTACAGCGGTATGAGATGCGCTTCGAGGAGGGTTACGATGCGACCAGATGGGAGGAGGACATGTCCGATTATTTCGTGATGATGAAGGGGAGGCTTCCAGTTGTGTTGACGCCTAGAAAGTGAACAATGAAGAAGGGGGCCGAGGTAAAGTTGGCTGGTACCATTGTCTATCGTTATTTGAGGGAGATAAATTTAGATAGTATGTAATCATAATGGTTGGCATTAAAAACGTGAGCGTGCGATGAAGTGGAGTGGGGAACGTGTCTTGGAGCCGTCACGGTAAGGCGACGAGAAATGACAGACAGCAAATGACCGGCCCGAAGCGAGTAGGCTGCTGCGGCTCGGATGAGGGAGACGTGACCGGGTCAGAAGGCCGATGCAGCCGAGGTAGGATTTTTGTAGGTTTGTTGGCGCCGGCGGGATAAATAGACGCTGTTGATTCAGAAGAATGGTGCCTGCGCCCTGTGGACCTCACAACACGCCTCACGTTTGATGTAGAGAAACATTCCGGCAAGGCCAGCTGCAGGCTTAACCCGCGACCTTTTCTCAAGGCTCAATGCTTATCTGTGCCTCTTCCATCCCGCGTCAGAAGGCACGGCCTCATGTCAATAATTTGGAAGAAATCATGGGAGTATAATTGTTTGTCAATCATTGATCAGTCACTAGTCAACGTCTGAATCATACATACATCGAACGTGAAAGCTCACCTGCTTTGTAACATCAGTTCCGCGCTTCCATTAGACACGCAAATCAGCACACCACCGTAGTATCGAAGATGGAAGAAGTTTTGTTGAGCACGAGGCAGGCCAGGAAGAGGCATGTAAATTGGTTCTAGCCTGGAGATTTGCCTCGTATGTATATGTCGTTTGGCAGAACCATAATACGCGTGATTAGTTGGTGTTTTGAACGAGCTCTGGGGGGGCGGGCGCAGGGGGAAAAAGCTGGGCGTTTGTTGGGCAGAAGATATGAATCTTGTCGTCGGATCGATGAAAACCCCGCCGGCTCGATGTTATTGTATACCAACTATTGGCCGTAATGCCGCCACTGCAAGAACAAGATCGGCTATGTAGCTGGGAATTTGAAATGGCAGCAGGCTCGCAACCGGTGCATTTGCACCGCCTCGGCGAGTACGGCCACGCAGCATCGACAGCCTCTAATCCTTCGTCCTGAGATTTGGATGGCTTCCAGGACCTGAAACCCATTTATACACGTTCCACTAAAATGGTGATGGAAAGGCGGCCTTAAATGGAACAAGAAGCCCCTTAGGCCTCGGCGGCTATACCACCGCATAAGTATATGGCGCAGTCCAGGGCTGGTCCAGGGTAGCTCTCGCCAGCGGGACACATATAACATGTCTGCCCTTCTCCGCACACATGAGAGCACGCCAGAAATGGCGCACGCCGCCATTAATGACCTGCGACGAATTGCAACGACCCAGCCCTCGAATGATCCAAGATCCATCTCTCCCATCTCTTTTTCGCATTCCAATAGCCACACACGGACTTTCTCTGAATCGAGCGCATCTACCTTTGTCGCCTCCGAATCGACGCATGGCGCGTCAGGATCATGTCCGAGCAGGTTTCGCCCGTCGTCTAGCATGGACTCGTCACATACATGCATCGCCAAACCTACGCCCTTGGTAGTGAAGGTGTCACGGCGGTCGTACAGCGCAGACGATTCCGATGTTGCACCCCCAGCCTACGGCACGGTGGATCCTCCGTCGTACTCCAAAGCAGATACCAGTGCCCCGGAACCACGCACGCTGCCCATGTACTTATTCTTCCTTGGTTTTGGTGCGTTCAAGCCCAGGTTGACGCGTAAATTGAGCTCAATCTGATCATGTACAGTGTGTCCCCTGCTCTGGGTTGTGGGCACATTCACGATGCGTCTGCCGCACAGGGAGCGGCGGGGAGCGTTGGATCCGTTTGCGATGGCAAGGCTACCGGAGATGGAGAAGGCTGCGGCAGATAGAGAGGTAGAGCGGATAATGAAGAGGTGGGAGGTTGAGATGAAATGGGGGAAAAGGTGCATGTGGGCAACAATTTTGTTTGTATGTCTTGGGCTGGCAGCGGGAATGTCCGCGTGGGGCGCAATCAGTGCTAAGAGGTCGAGGGGATAATGTGTTAGGCACGAGTTGACTGTGCTTCTGGAAAAATCTGAATTTCGTTTATCACTGAGGGAGGACAAAAAGCGACCTGACACTCAAAGGCATGGGGGCACCGCGGATTGAACGCGGGACCTTCAGAAGAACTCACTTCAGTCTGCTGCTCTCCCAACTGAGCTATGCCCCCGGTGTCCCCAGGGCTTCCAGGCTTAGTTATACCCTGGAAAAGAGCAAAAGAATATATCAATAATATAAGTTATCTTCTATCTTTAATTACGGGACACATGATTCCTTGGATCTCTAGCGGGGCTGCAACTTTGGTCTGCGCCTATAGACCTAAATAAAGCACTTTACCAATAATACCAAGAACACTCCAAATCTTTAGGCTCGAAACCAGCCGTTCCAGAAATGGACAGTGTGAAGGGGTAATTATTTCTGTAACGGCTGGTAGCAAATAAC